ATAATATGGCTTGTGTGTTCAAAATAGGTTCCAACTTACGTTAGAATGATAAACTCCAATTTGTCTATGTATGCAGTAGTTTTTTTGAGTAGTAACTAAACAGCATCACAATAAATTTAAACAAACTCAGACATGGCTACACGAAGGTCATTTAAAGGGAAAATGACTGAGAACGCAGTTACAATTTGCATAATGTAAATATGTCAAATTATATTAATTACACAGTAGAAATACATGCATTAAATCGACAAATCGGATATACAATGTAACAGGCTGTCAGATGTTCATCGAAAAGGCCAAATACTAATGCGTTTAAGTCTTTAAGTATTGAATTGTTCCTGTTATACTCAAACGTCACCGTCGCATGGCTTTTAATTTAGATTTCCATGGGAAATCATTGTTAATTCGGTTATAAGTTCCGTATTACCTTTTTTGTTACTGGTCATTACCAATTAGTTAACATTTAAATCTGTGAAACCCCAACATTTATGAAATGTGTTGAGCCCACTAACAATATCATGTAATGTCGTTTAGCATTATATACACCATCGTGATATATAATCGGAGCATTATACTTTTAAAGTATCACCACAATCATTCGTTACCTATGACTAAAACGATGTATAATCTATTCTTAATTTCTGTACTTGTGTTTGTATAGTATTTCACAAGTAAAGAGCGACTGTGTCTGATGTGTGCCACAGTATAATAATCAGCTGATAACCACATAACATATATCTCTAGCATAACGTAACTAGTGTAACTTTGCATAACACGCAATAAATAACATGGCAGACATGATTTTAAATTTACGCTTTGTATTATAGTGGAATATTATCTTTTCTGCATTCATTTACTGCAAAACAATGTGCATAGATTAGTAGAATATCGAATATCGACCCGGAAGTTCCAAAATCACGTGATCGTCGCCGAGATTCGTGATAGCTTGGATTTCAAGCTAGCGACACGTACGAAAGAAATTGTTTAACTGAATACAGTTCATGGATAAGTTAACGAGATCAATTAATTCCAACAAAAAAATCCATTATATGTACACGAGAGACTAGAAGGCCGTTTCGATTGAAAAGTTAAATTTGTTGATTCATTGAAATTTTAATAAGTTGTGCCCGTGTCACTCTGAGTGAGTGCATGTCAGTGTTGTACACCAATCTATTAATAATACGATACGAATATGCAGCTTTGCAATCGCCATATGGTCTTGTAATTTGCCTTGCGGTTTATGTCGCGTTTTTATCTGCTACACGATGTCAGTAAATCACTCAGTATAATCATTTATCTACGACTGAATTGTAACGGATTCAACTTTGAAACTTGTTTTAACTATCAATGATTTTCTTTTTATAAATAGATTGTGTTTTCTGTATTTTCCTCTATATTTGTTTCCCTCCAAATTTTCCCTGTGCAGAGTTTTTCTGAATTTACAATGTCTCGCCCCGAGTTTCAAATAGTCAACCCCTAAACGCAGAACATTCCATCCTTAAACAATGACGTCACCGAACGTAATAGAACGTAATTCGATTGATTAAGTAATCACGATAAGAAATACGCTTTTATCGCACTGTATCACTATAATTTCCGTCATCGATATACTAGTATATACAGTCAGCTGGCGTACAAGTGACAATGTTTAATACAATAAATTCGATAAACCTACTGATATTTACTATATTGGGACAGCCATCTTGAATACGGCTTGAAACTACATAAAAATTCTAAATCAGTGAAATTTGACTCCTCAATGGCAGACAAGGGAAACCTATAGAATAACTATAATTTGTATGTGTTACGACATCTGCTGCAGTTCAACGAACTTTCACTGTGTACACTTCAGTTGCCGATCGATGATGAATGTGTGTACTGTTCGTATGGAAAGAACGAAACGTAAATGAAGTTGGTGTGCAAACCACTTTGCGGACGAATTCTAACACGCTAAAATGAATGAGGCAAGTATTTCAGTATGTGTTGTTGTCATGGAAACATATTTTCAGACGCGTTCTATGATGATCTCGCATTAGGCACACTGTTGCGCCATATCAATTAAAATATGTGTTTCGTGTAGGCTTATAATTTTAAAACTCTATGTTTTAACTAATTTTCTATCACAAATCACAAAATCAATGTTTCCTTGCAAACAAATCCAGGTGAAACAACACAATTCCATGAATTTCAAGTACTTTTTTTAGTTAGCTGCGTCCGTTCAATGTTTGGCTAGACGGTCTCTGCACGTTATTAAACATCCTTTTATTGAGAATGGCCGAGAAGAAGACGTTGCACGATGTGTAGCTAGGCGATTTGGTGACGTAATTCGAATGTCTGTTCGAGTCACGCACGAAGTACATCCTTTTATTGATTTATCATAAATATACTTTAAGTAAATATATTTTGCCTTTTGTTTGGTTTGATTTTCTTACACCCCAAATGAATATTTATCAGTAAAAGAATAAATAAAGCATGACTTCATTTATTTTATGTAACAACATACTGTGCACATGGCGAGTATCATCAATTCGCTCGTTATTAATGACGTTGCCGAAATTGACCGGAACTATTTAAAAACTTGTTTTCCATTAACGAAATCGTACAAAACAAAAGTCAGTTTCCATTAATGTCGATCTGAGTCACTGTGACGTTAATCGGTATCGGAACTGTTTGTCATAGATTGATAATTCGGGTCAGCCTGAGTGTACAAAATAAAAAGAACACAAGTTTATTTTGGCACGAGATCATGATCTCGCGGCGAGCGGAACATCCGCTCTCATCATTCGAAAATCATGTGTTCTGTTACTATTATTAAATACACATAATGCATAGTTATTTAAAAAAGACCTGAAGCTGGTAACTGATTACAAACTTATTCGGACACAAATTATTTCCAGACCTAGACATCAGACAGTATAAAGATATTCAAATAACCAACATTGGCGAATCAATAGTCATGGCAATTACGTGTTTTCAGCGAACAGTCTGGAATACCGACACATCTATGTAGATGCTTTCAGGTGGAAGATTTAAGTTATCTTAAACTCACTGTGTAGGAAATGTGGGTAAACTTTCGTTTTCAGCGACGGTGCTGGATTTGATATATTTGTTACGTATACATAAGAGTATTTGATTCTGAATTGATGGTAGCAAATTGCAATTTTGGTTAACTGAACAAATATTCTAAATTGTAATATTCGACACGTGTCAAATAATATAAATTATCATAATATAAAACACAAAAAACATTGTTTCTGGTGACATAAACATGGTTCAAAAACGATTGAATGTAATTTACCTGTTCTTCATCAGAAATTTGTAATGATACCGAACTACCTTCTATTCCAGTTTCCTTCCTTTTTTGTCGGGGAGCATATTTGACACCATCCAAGTTCACGTCTTTCTGGCTTTCCGGTACCTTCTGAAAACTTGGCATTTTCTGTCCGTGTCCGGAACTGTCAAAGTTTTGTAAACGTGCATACATTGACAGTAGTGCCACGTCCAAGCAAACCCAAAACAACGATGTCCAAATTGCAACCCGCCTTACTTTGTTTCTGGAAGATAGTAGCATGGTAACAACTTTAAAAAAATACAAACTAATCTCTACGTTGATGATGTCGTGTCGCGAAAGTTTGGGAAAAAATTAAACGTTGCGTTCACTACTCAGAGAACGAACATCAGACAACGACGATCACTTCGTGCAACAATCAACAAAAGTGACTGTCGTGGAGGATAGGACAGTCGTGATACGCATGCGCAATACAGGTCGTGGAAAACCGTGAGTGAAAGGACAGGTGTGTTTGCCACGTACGATGACCATTTATAATCCAGGTCGCTGTGCGAATTACTACCATAATCGATGTCCCACGATTTAGGGGATAAGTAAGGCGGGTGAGCATATACTGAAATGTGTTATGCAAAATGATATAGACTGGAGTGAGAGAAATATTACACATAAATATTGTCCTGTGATTCAGTGTTTAATATCAACCCCAATATTCATCATAATCATAATTTTGGAGTTACTGTAAGTATGAAGTCATACAATCGTATGAGTATCGTAGGTCGGGTCAAGGTCGGTTTTCGTCCCCTGTGGCGGATCCAGCAAAATGTATTGGGGGGGGGGGGGCAAGCTTCGCTTAACATTACGGAGCGAAAATCGCAGAGAAGCTATGCGTAATCCAGATGATATGAATTGTCATGCGTTTGGGGGGCCATGGGCCCCCTTGCCCCCCCTCTGGATCCGCCACTGTTCGTCCCGTTTTTCGCGTAGGAACCGCAAGAAATCAGGGTCGACCTTATCACGAAAAGAGCATGAAATCAGTAATAAATAGTGTAGTGTAAAACACGGTAAATAGTAGACTATAGTCAGCGAAATGTAATTCAGTACAATTCGCGATTATGTTTTGTGTGATATTAAATTTGATGTAAAGAACACGTGTTTTGGCAAATGTTGCCCTCAACGTTGAAATTCGACTACTGTAAATTAGTTGTTAGAGAGATCTGCTATACAATCTATATGGACATGTAAAATTATAACACTATTTTCACCAACGAATCCGAATCTGTGAACTTAAAACTAAGTTAGTATGCTCATAATATCTAATGAAATTAAATACCGAAGAAAATGAATTAATCTACAGACAGTAAAGTGTTATTAGTAGACAGTGATATACCAATAAATGATTTGATAATCTTTCTTTGAAGTTACGCCCCTAGCGACAAAGCATTGTTTTATTGATAGCCATCCTTTAATAACGATTTTTTTTAGATATTTACTATATTCCATATTTCCTATATTAAAAAACCGCAAACACAGTTGTCGCCTTAGTCCTCAATGGAAGATCGCATAACTTCCTATTATTCAAGTTTATTTTTGAATCATTGACCTATATATAACCTAAGAGTTTTGTGGAAGGTGAATTTCCCTTATAACTCTGTTGAGTTACTTATTACTCTGTTGAGTTACTTGTCACTCTGTTGAGTTACTTATCACTCTGTTGAGTTACTTATTACTCTGTTGAGTTACTTATCACTCTGTTGAGTTACTTATTACTCTGTTGAGTTACTTATCACTCTGTTGAGTTAATTATTATTCTGTTGAGTTACTTATCACTCTGTTGAGTTACTTATTACTCTGTTGAGTTACTTATCACTCTGTTGAGTTACTTATCATTCTGTTGAGTTACTTATTACTCTGTTGAGTTACTTATCACTCTGTTGAGTTACTTATTACTCTGTTGAGTTACTTATCACTCTGTTGAGTTACTTATTACTCTGTTGAGTTACTTATCACTCTGTTGAGTTACTTATTACTCTGTTGAGTTACTTATCACTCTGTTGAGTTACTTATTACTCTGTTGAGTTACTTATCACTCTGTTGAGTTACTTATTACTCTGTTGAGTTACTTATCACTCTGTTGAGTTACTTATTACTCTGTTGAGTTACATATCACTCTGTTGAGTTACTTATCACTCTGTTGAGTTACTTATTACTCTGTTGAGTTACTTATCACTCTGTTGAGTTACTTATCACTCTGTTGAGTTACTTATCACTCTGTTGAGTTGTTTTACAAATAATCTAGGTTGTAATAGTTAGGTCCAGATAAATACGTCTTCGAATAAAACAGTGTTTATATTGTTATGACATAGGCCTTATTACGTATCACATCGCCTCTTCTATGCGTGACAGAAACCTTATAAACGCATTCATAAATATTTGTAAATACCAACTTGCAGCTTTCATTCACATGCATATAAGTATATGATAACTGTTTGGATCATGGGTTTACATGGCATTGCCTATGTCCACACTATGTGCGCATGCGCCAGGTAGTTAATTTTCATATTATATCAGAGCGTTGAACATACAATTATATTTTAAATTCGAAAAATTATCTGAATACTGAATGTTTCGCAACTGCTCAGTTCGGTGCGGAAATGGCTCGTAATACTAGTAGTTTGGAAGCTTGCCAATTCGTGGCAAAGTTGAGTTTAGAGTTTGTTCCGACATCAAACACTCCCTTTACACACGACAAACACGCCGCTAACGCGACTGGCACGCATGAGAGTTACTGTTGGTACTTCAATCCTAGTTGTACGCCTGGGACTATTCCCAGTACATTCCATTCAAACTAGACACTTCATGAATTCCCAATTGAGTATTGATTGTGTGATTTATATTGCCTCGTTCGAGTAAATTAAAACAGTCACGCGCGGATAATGACAGTCTAATAATCGCGGTGCGTCCAAACTAGATAGGTATGTCATGGCTGCGTATCGAAGATGTCACACGTCGACACGCTTGTCTTGCACGTTTAGTGTTCTCACATTCTTGTCATTGCATGGCACGCGTTTATCTCTCTGTCAACACGCAAAGTTGGGTCAGCGAACGTTGAGATCAGGTTACAGTTACCTGGTGTGTTTATCCACAGTCCCTCTATAGAGGATAGAGGGACTGTGGTTTATCTTACACTCACGCAGAACGAAATCATTGGAGTATATTAGTCTTACGTCACCTACATGTACATGTAACTTTGAAGTCTGTTCACAACGTATACGTTAGAATATATTACCCGTTCACTGGTTGCTTGTACAGATTTACCTGTAAGAATGATACAAACGAGAGTGAACAACAATAACCGTTTCATTACGGTTTACCCGCACATAGTTTATTGATAGTGTGATTAAAACAGCCACACAAATGATGACGGATGACTTCGCCATTCTTTACGTTCCTCTGTTTTTTTTTTATTGATACTCCCTCCAATGATGCTGCCCGTAAAATACATTCTAGTATAACGCTGATACTTCCCTGTTCATCATAAATCACTGTATGCGTACAGCTGTCATAATATACACGTTTTTGTTAATAATTACCGTGTTGCCACATAGACCTTTCTAAGGTCTATGGTTGCCGTTTTAATTGTTCGATTCATCGGTTGGTTTATTTCTCATATGGATTTCCGTAATTTAATAATAAATTTTCACTGGATGGTCCCAACAACGAAGGAGATAATATTATCTCTCCGTGGTTCCAATAACAGCGATATTAATATGTAGTGATTTTATTTTTTTTATAATATTTCTTTAAATTACGTTTTAGTGATTAATTTATAATAATTAAATACGTCAGTCAATTCAGTCATGTTGTAATATGGGTAAAAAGCTCTAAACTCGGGTATTTCTCCGTTTTTTTAAAGCCAGCCAAAGAATATTGTTTTTAAACCCCCGGCCAGTAGCAATAAATAAACTGGTGGAAGACTAGATAGTAAGTGGAATTTATATGTAATTTGTTGAATGGGCACGAGATGACCACGTGTGCCGGTCTTTCAAAAATGTTGTTTTATTTGTTTTGTTTAAACATTTGTCCATTCACAGCTTGAATTCCGCGTCATTATAAACCTTTGTCTAAACGTCAAACACACCTAATAGCTACCTACCTCAAATGTTTGTATTTTGTTTTCAGAAATAGTATATAAACTGTTCATTTATTTAAGACGCATTTTAAGTCTTAACAACTACTGTACTATGGCATTTAAATATAATGATTTCTATTTATTTTTTTCCTAGAATCTCGGAAGCAAAAAAAAAGTTCCGATTGTCAGATGTATTGATATGATTTATTATAACATATGATATATCGTACTATAATATTCTATGAAATAACGCACTTCCTCGCAAAACTCGAACTCTGAATAACTCTGCACGAACCAGTTACATCACTAATATTAATCAAACATGAGTTGCGTTCAGTGCGCATGTACTTCGAATTTCTTGTACGTACATATTTACACTATGCTGTCCATGGCATCATCAATAAATCAGCGATGATATAGATGATATAAGTACACAGCTACACCAGAAAATATTCCATGCTGAGATACACACCCGCTCTTGATTGTAACCGAAAGCGATGTTTTACAGACTATATATGAAAGTGATTAACAATGTATACTTGAAATTTACTGTACGTACCAGAAATTCAAATCCATATACTCATACATTTAAAATAAAATTCATACATTATTTATACAGTACGTTAAACAAACTTATATATATGTCCGTTATATAGAGATACACAAATTATAAAGAGAATGACTTCAACTCGTATTGAGAAAACGCCTTATTAGGCACATACTGCAAGGCTGGTATAATGTTGATCAGAATTCTGACTCATTCGGTATTCTAAAATTGATGTATCCGTTCTGTTTTTTTTATTTTGCTCCGAAGACTGCTCAATCAGCACCGTTCTTTCAAATAATGAGAAGGTAGAGTTACGTCACCGTGACAACATGCTGCTTCTACATTCACTTCAGGGCGTGATGACGGCGCCGATGAAAGCGATATCGACTGGGTTCGCTCAGGGCTGTCAGTGTGCGTCAGCTGTGTCACATCGCACATTGACGGACTAGGAACCCGACTTGGACTAGGACTTGCTGGACTGCGACAGCATTTTTTCCATCTCACAAGGTTTCTGACAATGACAGTTCGAAGGTCTCTGTTCCCATAAGAGTATATCAGTGGGTTTATGAGAGCCGTACTGTACGCAAAGACACTCAAAACAAGTTGCGCCTCACACTGTTCAAGTTCATGGCTGGGGGTTGCGTCGCCGTTGTATATAAGAATGAACCGGACCTCGCGCAGTATACCAAAGGGCACCCAGAAAACGTAAAATAAAATTACCACAAGGAACAGAGTTTTGGTTATTTTCATGCTCTTCGAATCGATGCGGTCACATGACTCACCACGACGTACAGTCGACACGCGGGTTGCTTCAATCCTCCGTCGCTGTCGCCGGGCTGCCGCGAGTGTGACGTAAAAGGTGATGAAGACGAAGGTAACCGTTGGTAACATAATGACGAATATGGCGAATAAACTGTACGCCAGAGTCGTAATGCGCGCTACTTCACATGTAAATGTATCGGAAGAGTTACTGGAGATATTGTTCCATCCCATAGCAGGAGCAAATCCATAGAGTATGGCAAACCCCCACTGGCAGACGATGATGATGGCGGCACGCACGTTCGTCATAATTGCCAAGTACTTTAGTGTGTGCTTGATAGCAATAAAACGATCAACAGTGATCCCTGCAAAATTGAAAAGTAAAATATAAAATATTTTATATTTCTGCGGACCAAAATAAATACAACTTTGAGTTTTTTTGTGTCTAATTGTACATTACATAAACTGGTACTTCTTTTTGAGCGCGCACATAGTAGTACTAGTAATATTATTAATTTGAGTAAAAATAACTATTCAATTGCACATGCGTGTTGAATTACGTGTACGTACTTGTAATTCAAAGTTTACGATAGACCACATAGTCAAGGATGAAACATCTACTATTGACCATGACTATAGAGTAAATCGCAATCTAACATACAAAAGACAAACCCATTTAAAAAAGAAAAAAAAAAGTACTTACCAATCAGATTGACAACTGAGGCGACTGTAATCGTGGTTGTAATACAGAGGCTAAACATACAAACCCCGACGTCTGCGAAGGCGCTCCGTGACACCAAGTAGGCTATGGACATCGGGATGACTACAGCGCCGAATAGAAAATCTGCAACACAGAGGCTGCCGACAAACCAGTTCATAGGCACATGAAGTGACTTCTCGGTGAGGATGTTGCCGATTACGACGCTGTTGACGGGTACAATAAGCACTGCTAATAACAGATAGCATACCGCTACTGTGATCTGACATGCCGACAAATCCGGTTCATCAGCGTCCCGCGAGGTTGAGTTGTCAATCGTGTTCAATTGAAGAGTCACCATTTTCCTCTTGTGTACTAATGTGAATAAAATGTATACCGTATACCGGGCCTGTCATGAAGTGAGTAATACAACGTGGCGATCGTCATTAAAATCCAACCAATCAATTATATTGTACTTTATCATAAACAAACATATAACCCTTCTAAAAATATAATTCAATTATGTAACAAGGGCATGACGTTTAGGTTAGTTAGTCTACTTTGGTTGCCATAGAAATTTCGCACACTTGTACGTGGTCGTCCTGTGTATCAACATGTATCAATAATGAGCACCTCTAACGCTACGACTTTTATCACAATTTTGGTCAAGTGTTTTGCATTTTCCATTTTGCATGTTTGAACAGAACAGTAAACTTGCGAATCGTTTCCGACATATACCGTAATATGCACAATTATTAATCATTGCAGCTAAAACTGCCAAATATAGTGGAACGGAATGAAAAAAGATGTGTATTGTGTAGTTAAAATCATAGTTAAAATTCCACAATGACTATTTGTCGTTTTACAACTGTCACGGCGACCAACTTACACGTCATGAACCACACTGGCCTCGGCACTGTCCCTATGGATTTATGGATTTGAAAACCACTAGAAACAAGAGAACTGGTGATGGTTGTGAACCATAACTGCCTCAGCACAATGGCTGTTGTGTAATACCAGGCAATGTAAAACATTGTAGTGTTACCTCTGTGTAATTTACAATATATCTACATTAACCTTCACTGTTAAGGACAATATGGGAGTAGAAGCAAGGCTGGGCAAATTTTGCGAAATAGTAGTTAGTTAGAATTACCAGAAATTGTGGGATATAAAGAAGTGGCCTATTAACCCATGAAACATACTCGCACATATCCGTACATATCATCCTGTCTTATTGTGTGGGGCAAATATGTCATGTACACAATCACAATAAATGGAAATGGTTCACAACAAAAAAGTGTTATTGCTGTAAATAATTATAAACAATAAAAACTGAAATTTAGAAAAACTATGAACAAAAAATAATGAAAGTCTGTGATTTTCTGTACAGTTTCCAGAAAATTATTAACCGAACCATAACATTTATAAAAAGCATTTATAAGATTCACTTCGAGTATATCAGAAATATAATCTTACAATTGCATACACGAGTCGTCAAAACGTACAGTTTGGTGACATAAGTCAAATATTGTATAGTTCAATATGCATACAACCACCCATATACTAGTACATTTTGACAATAAACCCCTCTTTCACATTGTGCAAATACAAACAAGACATTAAACCTTCCTGACATGTAAGTGTTGTATAAACTCGAATGAAAAGTCTTGAGTCACGGCGAATACTTCTATTGAGTAGCCCATTTAAAAATCTCTTCAACTATCCAAGGCCAATCATTAATTAAATATTATTAATGTTATTAACACTTACACAATCCCCAGAGGGATTGGCAATGGCTACAAATGTTTAAGAAAGAATAAAAGGTTAAAAAAATAAAATAAATAAAATAAAATAAAAACATACAAAAAACTAAGCTAATACATTACTGTAACAGAGAAAGAAAATATTAAGACTAAATTATTATACAATAAAAAGATAGAAAAAATGCAAAACTTAAAGCGCGGTAGTCGTCGCACTGCGCATGTGCAAGATATATGGGTCTCATATAAACAAAGATGGCGACTTTGACTGTTGCGCAGATCAACGAGTACGAACTGGCACGTTTCCAAGCTTTAATTAGGTAATTTTCATGTGATTGGAAGGTATCGAAGGAGTCACCGGCGGTAATCAGTGCAAGTCGCGCCAAGGTCAAACCTCATACTTGTGATTTCCATTTGAAGAGCGCATTGGATTGTGGAAAAATCAATGTTTATCATCACAAATGTCGAACATGCGCAGCGCGACGACTGCTGCGCTTTAACTGGGAAAGAAAATTGTCACTGGGGTTGCTGTCTTATTTCAAAACACTTCTTTAGGTACTTTGCTACAGGGAGTGTTAGACCACTGTTGTTTAGCAAGACTATGAATTGTGTCTTTAGTGACAAATTTTGGTTTTTGCAATTTCAAATAAGACATTTCTATCAGGGGTATAACTTTTGCATGACATCATTAGGTGATACTCATCTTCTACTTGATTCTGATCACAAAGGTTACATAATATATTAGCAAGGGGTATTCCGTTGTGTCTGTCAGTCTCAGTTTTCAAGTTATGGTCACTGAGGCGGAATTATTTAAATTTTCGCGCATCTCAATATTTTGCCGGATAACAAGGTATGTTTCAAAAGCAAAATTGTTTTTTTTAATTCTCTGTATGTTCTTAAGTTATTTATGTTTCATTTTGTTTTGATTGATTGTCGTTTTGTAATTCACTTTTCCAAGTTGATATAAATGATGTTTGTATATTTTTATTAATTTGTCCTAATTGCCTTGCTGTTATAATTTCATTGTATAATTGTCAACCACGTTAGACTGGTTGATGTTAATCAAAAGGGAGTCTACCATTTACTATTAAATTCTTAATATTAATAATTTACTATTAAACTTCTACACCAGGTAACACCAATTAAAACCAACATCGATTTAGAATTACTGTGGCCAATGACATTGAAATTTGCTCTTCCATAAAGCAGCAGTTTCCCTCTTCTAATAATCAAAACTACCCTTGATACCATGGAGAAGTATGTCCATTATTTCACAACAACGACTGTCCCAAGAGATTTTCGTCTTCTCAATTTCTCAAGATAAACGTCCCAGGGTTGTTTTGTTTACTAGAAGGAAATGTCCTTTGACAGCATTTCTTGAATTAATTTCCATTGCACAAAAAAGCAGCAAATACTGTTACTGAAGCACAGAATTGGCATGAATTCCCCCCCCCCCCCCGGCCATTCACGCAAACTGCAAATCAAGACTTTTATCACATTCATATTTGTTGACAGCCGATGGATGATGATGGATGTATTGCGACGTATTTTGACCCCCGGATTTTGACCTTGCATTCTTGCCACATTTACTGCCCTTTCATACCCGTTCAATTTCCTTTCATTGTTTCATCCAGATTCCATGATATTTTATATTAAAACCAACCTTTATTTCACAGTCACTCTAGTTTTCACTTTTCTAAAATTATCTTACTGATCAAAAGACTTTTCACTCTCATCATGCAATCTCCCATAGTACTTCCGCAGACACAGGGGCGATGCCAACATATCTAAAAATAACCTCGCTCTCAGGAGCTGAGGAATAAACATACAACGAGTTTGAAAGGCCGACTCTAACAACATACGGATCATCACACTGCTTATTAAAAATGTTATCAATCGTAGTCATGAGATTGTTGCAGTTTTTCGGATGAAAAAGAATTGTAGGAATTTTTGTTTACATGTGTGCCTATTTTAGTGCACATAGCAGACATAATCTACCTATAATTATTTGTTTTTAATATTAGTCAACAGTATGCGGGTTTTCTGGCAAAACAACTAACATTTCACAACAGAAATAAAGTACAAGTTATATGTTTATGATAATAGGAGTCCCCTAGATTGATTGACAGCGTTTGTAGCACATCAGCGATATCACCGCAGCTGGTGATTTTCTGCAGTAATAAGATACAAACAGCTGGACCGAAAGTAGTAGTTATTATTATTAAAAGTAGTAGTTATTATTATTATTATTACATTCATCAACACAATAATAATTACAATACAAATTGATATGACCTTTGCGTATAGGTCTCGTGCTACTAATCAACCAATGACCGTTAAATTTAAATGCCTTGCAAGAACCAATGAAATATTTTTAATATTCTTTTAATATTATGTTGATTTCCCATTTTTGAGCCATGTTTTCAACTTTGTTTATCATTTTCATATAGCAATCTGCTCATAAGTTTATACAATTAAATACAAAGTGGCGCCCTCGAAGTTCATCATCATATTTCTCGCATTCTCTCGTGTGATTTAGCCAAAGTCTGACGAGAGTTGGAATGAATAAAATGGCTGCCACGGATGCTTAAAAATAAGCCAGACCTCAAAATTGTCGATTTTTACCCTTTTTGTTGATCGCTTGATGCTAAATTTGGCAATTCTAACAAAATGTGGGTAAAACCAGAAGAGGTCTTATTGGCAAATGCTCTATGGTGAGTATATTTTTGTTAACTGTCTTTGCCTAGAATTTTCGTCTATGTACATGTATGTGTCCTTTATCACTCGTAAAATTTGCATAAATCTACGATGACTTTATTTCGGTGTATTAATAGGCCTGATTTTATACCTCCGACAGTATTAAGTTAGTCGTATCCAAATGTTAACTTAAGGCTGAACTTATACCTGATCATATTGAATTTTGCGTTAGTTATATTTTCGCCATCGTCGTCGACGTCAGCTTGTATGTATACGTTGTTTGTAAATAAACGAATGTGTGAAGACCATTCATTGGGTGCGTTGGCGGATTTCAATGAATCCTGTTGAATATTCGGCTTGTTATACGGATTGTTTTTGAATACAAATAAATAATTACACATACTAAAATGTATGTATGGCATTTTCTTAAAAAAGCATGAAGTTGATTTAGATTTTTTTATATTTTTCTTGTAGCTCATCTAATACTGGCCTGTGTAATTTAGATTCTTGATTCTTTATATTCACTTGGATTTAATTTGCACTATTTTCACTGAAGGAATGATTCCATGAAAATAAAATCCAGAGAATATACATTTTTTCTTATATTTTACATTCAACTTATTAAAAGTCAGTGGAAGTGAATTACATATATGAAGTACCTGAAAAGTAATTTGAGTGAAAATTAATTCCAGCTAAAATAAAGTATTTTTCAGTACAAAATTCTGAAACAAAAGCTTGGTAGTGGTACTGAAACTGAACAAGTTTACGTTCTTGGTTTTGGACCCTGGGTTCATCACTGGATTATGGCTTTTTCATGAAAGTTTGTAGCTGTGAACTATATGAATTTTCATTATTATCTAAAATGATTATCATTAAATTGCAAAATTTAGTGGTTTACAATATTCTGTTCATTCATTACAACACTGTGGCCATGAATCCAGGGCTAGGTTTTTGACCTTGAAGTTGTGTTTTTTATGGATGGTAAATTGCATGGAAATGATCTCCAAAGTTTCTGATTGTTTCAGATTACCCATGAGTGTTTTTTTATAGTTTAATTATAATTTTTTAAAGTATATTTAGAAAATCAAAATGACAGAAGAAAAAACCGTCGCTGACTGATCACAGCCATAACTTGCATTTGACATTTGACTAGTGCAGCTGTATATCAATTTATAAATAGTTTTAAAAATTTACATCATGGGTTATACAAAATGAATGTTCTGTTTATTAAGTAATTCTTTGAGTGATTTTGTTGATGTGAATATTGATATATAAGGTATAGTATTTATTATCATTATTGTAGGTTAATGTGTAAGCACATCAATACACAAATTGTTAATGACAACAATTTTAACAATGTTGAAAAAACATATCCTGTCACAAGTCATCAATTGTGGAATCATTTTTATGAATTTTTAAGTGTGAAATACACAATGCTTTGAACACCAGTTCTAAGTTAAATTTGTGCAGTATATTTGTACATGAGTTAGTAATGTGAGATGGAATCTCAATAGCATCTTTCTTGTATTCAGGTTGGTCCAAATGACAATGTCATGTTTCCTGCCTTATGAATAATTCTTCCAACTAGTGTAGATGTTCAACTTATTAATAAAAATGTCACCACATCCATGATATGCAGTGTCAATAGGTGATTTTCCGTACAATTGTGAGATCTCGCGAGATGCATGAAAGACGCGCGTCGAACGTCTGCCGCAAAAATCGAACGATTTGATTTTGAACTCGAATTTCCTTATTTCGTAGCTCACACCGACCGGCCGATCTTTGACAGAGGAATATTGCTTCTGAATACCCTTACTTAATCGAAATTGCCTATCATCAAATGTGGACAGCACATTATTAAGCATGGAAATGTCCCCAAAATACTTTTGACTACGACGCTATGACCTTTGTTTGTCCTGTTTTTACGTTCGATTTCACGCATAATGCGTGATTCTCGCAGTGTACGGAAAATGGTCTATTCCTGGTGTCTTTTAGTTAGACATTGCAGCAATTCTTGATAACATTTGTCTTGCCATTATAGGTACCGGTATTTGGTTTTGCTACAGTGCATGTTTCCATTACTGTCACTAGTACATTCCCTTTCAGTGAGTAGCTTGCTCTGGATTTTGATAAAAAAAACAGAGCAGTGGGTCTGAAGTTGTATTTGTACAGTGTTGGGTTTACGCCTGTATTTTTGTCAATACAAATGTACCACTCATACATGAGAATTAAGAGCATTAAACTATAGATATATTTATGCCATCATGGCTGTACATTTATTGTACCTTTTATAAAAGCACAAGAGAGCGGTTATGAAACGAAACAAATGCTCAGTATTTGCGTTGTGGGGTATACATGTGTTGTGCGTTCAATTATGCAAATTTTGAATACACTACTGTTAGTGCCTGGTGGCAAACCAGTTCTGAAAGTGAAAGCGATATTTAACTAACCTTTTTTTTTGAATTTTTCAAAAATAAATTACAATTACACAATGTATAAGGTTATCAATAACAAAATACCGGAATTTGCTTTCTCATACATTGTATGCTTTGACATGCCCCATGATTATTTGGTTTGTGTTTTTTCGAATTCTTGTTAAAAACAAAAAAATCTGATCGCTTTGATACTGTACATACTGTATAGGTACCTCAGGTAGACTTCTCTCAGATTTGTTCATTTTGTGATGATATCTTCAATTCTCTAATTTTGATGAATATTTTTGTTATTTTGTGGAAAAAGT